TGGATGGAATTTAAGCACCTTGAGGGGATTTTCAGCACCTTGGCCGTGCCCTGGTGATGTGGGGGGGGATGTTCTGGACCCCTCCCCATAAGCCTCTTAGGGGCTTCTCCGTGGGAAGGGCTCGTGAGGGGCAGCGTGTGGCCCCGAGCACGTGGGAAGCAGCAGCCTCATGTCAAGGACACTGTCCCTGGTGTCACATCCTGCTCTCCATGGTGCCTTTTCTTCCTTGATTCCTTCTGCCTCCATCTTCAAACCCCATAAACTTGGCCCAACACCCCTCCCCTCCATCCTGAGGGACTCACAGCCAGGGAGACCCCCTTGGATCCCCCCATCATCCCAGGATGAGCTTCCCAAGGGCCCACCGAGCACTTGAGTGTCGCCCACTAATGAACCTAAATTAACAGCCGGGCCCTGCTCTCTGCCAGGGAAATACCCTGTTCTGCATGGAAAACACTCCTGGATCCCCCTAATCCTATTTGCTGGAGGCCAACTAATTGCAATTAGTGGCAGGGACTGAAGTTCAATTAAAGTGTGCTGAGATTACTCTGTTTTTAATTGCTTTAGTGCTGGATTAGGGAAGCTTTGAAGTGACACGGGCCGTGGGCAGGGGCTGCCGGACCCTCTCTGGCCGGGTCGTGTCCTGTGGTGGCACCGGCAGGGATGGTGCTGGGAGGGCACCCCCTGTGCCAGGACCCTCACCTGGGCGGGAAGGGAGACTGGGATGGGGGTGCCATCCCTCCTGCTGGCATCAAGGGGCACTGAAGGAGTCTCTTGGGGAACAGGGGATCCTCCAGGAGAGGAGTCGGGATCGCCCTGTGTGGGATCTGCCGCCCGGCTGGGCATGGCCTCTCCCAGCGGGACTAATCCCGACACCCCCTCACCATCCAGGGCAGGGGAAGGACACTGGATTACCCCTTGGGAGAGAAGGGAGGTAAATAATCCTATTACCCCTGGGCAGGATAAATCTCCCTCCCGAAAAGCCCCCCAGAGCATCTCCGGGCTGTGGGACGGAAGGAGCGGCGCTGGCCTCGGGAACCGTGGGACTGTGTGAGTCGGGGGTTCCTGGAGTGGGACGGGACACGGGGTTGCTTTGCTGCTATTCCTGCATTCAGGAACATCATTCAGGAACGGCCAGGCATTTCCCTGGGTCAGATCTTTCGTCCCAGGCCTGTGCCCAGCTCCTGAGCTGTGCAGCGGGGCTGAACCCCTTGTGCCAGAGCCCGGTCTTGAGCTGCAGAATTCCTGCTCCTGGTGCCTGGCGGAGGGATGGAGCCCGTGGGGCATCCTCTGCTCCCCCTGCCCAGCCTGGGGTGCCCCCCACCCCCAAACCATGCTGCTGCCCACCGCAGCACAGACCCCGGGGTGAGCTAAGGGGGTGTCCTGGCAGTTCCATGGGGGGTCCCACGAGTCAAATTCGTGCTGGGATGGGGTGCATGGGATGAAGGAACAGTCCCAGGGGCGGCTGCAAGTCTGGTGCCCCCCATGACGCCCTTCCCTGCCTTAGAGAAAGGGGATTAGCGGGATGAGCTGGGCTGAGTCAGCATTGAGGGGAGGGGGCTCCGCAGAGCCAATTGGGAACAGGGTGGGAATGGGGGCACAGGGTGGGAATGGGGGCACAGGGTGGGAATGGGGGCACAGGGTGGGAGGAGAAGCTGGTGCCCCCCATTCCCCCTCCAGCAGGTGTGAGGAGCTGTCCCGTGGCAGGGCCGGATCCGCAGGGAACACCGTGAGCCCGGGCTGGCTGCCAGCCCCCCCCAGCCATGAGCCTGGAGCCCCCCAAGCTGGAAGTGAAATCGGCCACAAGGGTGACCGGGGGTCCCGCCACCCCCCGCAAAGGACCACCCAAGTTCAAGCAGAGGCAGACAAGGCAGTTCAAAAGCAAACCCCCCAAAAAAGGGGTGCAGGGGTGAGTGGGGACGGGCCCTGGGGTGGTGGGGGGGCTGCCTGGGGGTCAGGCCAGACAATCCCTCTCTCTCTGCAGGTTCGGTGACGACATCCCGGGCATGGAAGGGCTGGGAACAGGTATGGGGGTCCCATCCCCTCCTTGGCGGGGGGATCAGGGGCTGGGGGGGGTTATAGTATCACAACCTCTGTCCTCTCCTCCCCCCAGACATCACCGTCATCTGTCCCTGGGAAGCTTTCAGCCACCTGGAGCTGCACGAGCTGGCTCAGTACGGCATCATCTAGGACTGGGGCAGGCCTGGCTGGGTCACCCCGTAGTGCTGTGTAGGTAGAGGCTGTTCCATCTGTACAGTGGGGCTCTGCTTGGAAAAATTAAATCCTGAAACCCCAAACAAGCGCAGGAGCTGTGTCACCATTTGTGGGGCTGGGGGGAAAGTGTCTCCCCATGGCATGGGGGGGGAAGAACAGGACAGAGGTGGAGTTCAGGTGAATGGCAGGGTTTATTGTGGGCTGGGCCAGCCCCCCACATATTCCTAAATCCCCAGTGTCACCCAATGACCCTGAGCACCCTTAATGGCCATGCTGGTGGTGATGGTGGGATGGAGTGGACATGGATGTGTTCAGGCACCTGACAAGGTTTATTTGAGGCTGGACCAGGCCCCCACATATCCCAAACCGCCTGATGCCCTCACTCCCACACCCAGAAAGCCACGATGTCCCTGAGTGCCCCTCAGTGCCACGGAGCCTCCCACAGCCTCCACCAGCACCAGGGCGGCCACGCCAGCAGGATGAACAAGGACAGGGATAGGTTCAGGATTCTGACACGGTCCATTTTGGGCTGGACTAGCCCCCCCCCACATTCCCAAACCCCCCAGCATCCTGCACCCCTCACCCCCACACCCGGAAAGCCTCCACATCCCCCAGCACCCTCAGTGCCATGAGGGCACCCACGGCCTCCACCAGCACCAGGGCGGCAGCACCGGTGGCGATGGCCCCGGCCTGGCCCCTCAGCCACGCTCCCAGAGCAGTCCCACAGCCCCCCACGTGCACCACGGCCCCCGCCGCCGCCGGCCCCAGCGCCAGCACCCCAAAGCCGCACTGGGCGTTGGGCACGGAGCCGCTCTCCAGAGGGTCCTGGCAGCACGAGGCCGGCACGCCGCACGCCTGCGCCCCCGGGGCGCTGCAGTTGAAGTACCTGTGGGGTGGACACGGGGACATGTGGGTCCATGCACGTCTGGGGGGCAGGGGTGGGGTCTCCCCGTGCCCCCCCAGACACAGAGCTGGACACCAGCTATGGGTCCTGGCTCATCCCTCTCTTTCACGCCCTGTTGCGGGGCTCCCACCACCCCAAACACGAGTCCCCGGCACAGACCCCATAACCAACAGGGTGGGTTTTTGGCCCTGTGGCAGGGATGGTGTCCCACACAGACAGAGGGTTTTCAGCCCCGTGGAAGGAACGGTCTCGCCCAGCTCACCCCCACACAGCCCCCACTCACACGTTGCTCTCCCAGTCGCGGTAGGACCCGAGGCCGCAGCACTGGAGGCTCCTCTGCACCTCGTCCACCAGGAACTGCAGGTCGGGGTCGTCCTGGTAGCGCAGGAGGCAGAGCAGCAGCAGGTCCCTCAGCCCATCCCGCAGCCGCCGCCGCGCCAGCAGCACCAGCAGCCCCCCCAGCACCTCCAGCCCCGCCAGAGCCAGCAGGGCCCCCAGGAAGGAGCGGAGCAGGCAGGGGCTGGCACGGAGGGCGCCCAGGCAGCCGGCCAGGGACACGGCGCTCGCCCCCAGCCCCCCCAGCATGAAGAGCAGCATGGGGTCCGAGCCCAGGGGCGCCCCACGCTCCCCCCCAGGCGGGGAGGCCTTGGCCAGCAGACCCCAGACCCCCAGAGCCAGGAGCAGCAGCCCCAGCAGGAGGAAGAGGAGGTTCCAGAGGAAGGCCAGGTAGCGCACGCAGCGGCTGTAGGTGCTGGGTTTGGGGGGCACGGGGCACCACAGCCCGGGGTCCTGCTCAGCTGCGTCCCCCAGCAGCGAGACAGCGTCAGCATCGTCATCCGAGCAGGAGGAGTGGGGCAGCTCCGCCAGCCTGGACACCTGCAGGGACAGAGGAGCCACTCACAGCCCCCCGGACACATCCCCTTGCACCCCATCCCACAGCCAGACTGTCACAGCCTTCTGGGGTCACCCTGCACCCCCTTGCTGAGCCCCCCCAAGCAGGGTACCCCATCCCTGCTCTCACAGAGGGCTGGGCACACGAGGAGCACAGGGGTGCACCCCAGAGACCCTGCCCCGAAAGGGACCCCCAGGGATGTGGGATGCAGCACAGAGCCAGCACCCGGGGGTCAGGGGATGTGGGGGACACGGAGAGGGGGTCCTGTGGGAGGGGACTGGGGGCCCTGGCGTTACCTGGGGCAGCAGCCGAGTGCTCTCCCCGTGGGGCTGGGACAGCCGGGCTCTGCTCAGCGCCATGGCCTCGTGCCTGGACCCCAGTCACACTCCCATCATGTGAGGGGCTGCGGGCGGGCTTAAATGGGGCTGTGGGTACCGCCCCGCAGCTGGGCACGATCCCATCCCCACAGCAGGGCCCGATTCCCCTGCACCCCCACAGCTGGACCCGCGATCCTCCCCCGTCCCACAGCACCGGGGGGGGAACGGGGGGCCCTCCGAGGGCACTGCTTGCGTGCGGAACTAAACAGTGGGCGGTGCGTCCCGGGGGGGACATCAGTGTGTGTAGCACCGAGGCGGCATGGGGGACCGTTTTGGCGGTGACACCGAGGCTGCTCGGGGGACCGATTTGTTGGTGACACCGAGGCACGGGGGGACCGTTTTGGCGGTGACACCGAGGCAGCATGGGGGACGGATTTGGCGGTGACACCGAGGCACGGAGGCAGCGCTGTGGTTGCTCCGGGGTAGGAACCTTGGTGCGGCGGAACGCGCGCGCGGCAGGCGCGGGGCCGGGGGGGGGCAGGCGCGGGGCAGGGCCGGTGCCGGGACGCGGCGGGGCCGGGCCGGGCCGGGAGGAGCCGGGAAGGGCCGGGCCGGGCCGGGACAGCCCGAGAGGGACGGGACGGGTCGGGCCGGGCCGTGCGGGAGCGGCTCGGCGAGCCCCGGCGCCCGCAGGCAGCACCATGGCCGAGACGATCGTGAGTGCGGCCGGGGGAGGGGCGATGAGGCAGCAGATTCCTGCGGGGCCGGGACGGGGGCACCGGGACGGGGCCGGCGGTGCCCGCGCCGGGCAGAGCCCGCGGCGCCGCGGGACGGTCCCCCGTGGTTCTCCCACCGTGGTTTCCCCCTCCGTGGTTCTCCCCACGCGGTTCGGGGCCCGGACCCCCCCGGTGTCTCTGAGCCCCGGGCGAGGGCTCGGGGGGCTAAAGGGGGTGGAGAAGGGGCTGGTGGGGCCGGTGAAGGGCTCCCGGTCCCGTCCCGACGGCCTTGTGCCCGGGATGGAAGTTGGGAGAGTGGGAAGGGGTGACGGCGGGACACAGGCAGCTCCCCCGTGTCCCCCCCCCGCTTCCCTCGTGTCCTCCCTTGTCCCCCGTGTCCCCTCCCCACACTCGCCGCCCCCTGCCCGTGTCCTCGTGTCCCCCGGGAGTGGTTGAACGGCCCCTGTAGAGCAGCTCAAGCCCTGCCATTGCCCCTACACGCCCCGGGACAGCGGTATTTACCTTTGTCCCTTCCCTGCCTGCACCCGAAGGACTCCCCTGGCCTTTCCCTCCCCAAATCTGCCAGGTTTCCCGTCCTTGAGCTCAGGTTTTCCGGGAGCAGCCCAAGCCTCTCCCCTTCTCCTGACTACAAGGGCTCAGCCACGACCAGTGCAGTGCCCAGTAACACCAGTTGGGCCGGTGCCTGCACGAATAACCCCCCTTTGGGAGCTCTGATCCGCCCTCCTGCAGGTTTAATTCCAGCTCTGAGCTCAAAGAAGTGTTTTCCTTGGAGAAACTCCTGCCGAGGGCTCGGAGCATTGGGGTGATTCCATCCCTGTGCTCACAGACATCACCCCCTGCCTGGGTGTTCCCAGGCCCTTTGGAAGATGGGAACGGTGGGGAGGAGCAGGGGAACGTGGGGCTGGGGGCTCAGGGTGGGCTCTGTCCCCTCCCTGACCCGCTGTGCCCTCCCCCCCAGATCATCCGTGTGCAGTCGCCGGAGGGAGTGAAGAGAATCACGGCCACCAAGAGAGAGACAGTGGCCACGTTCCTCAAGAAGGTACCCCGGGGCCCCCTGTGCCTCCCCACGGGGTGGGGCAGGGCTCCCACTGCTTATCCCACGGGATTGAGGGAGATCTGGGCAGGGAACACGTCAGGGGGGCAGGCTGGGGGGGTGACTCAGCTGCTCAGTTTGCCCTGGAGGAGTGAGCAGCTCTCCATTTCATTCCCTCCTGGAACTCCTCTGGAACCTGGAACCCTCGGATTGGGGTTCCTTTGTTCTCCTTGTGGGAGGGAAGGGAATGGGAGCAGCCCAAAACCTGCTCTCTGTGAGTCATTTGCTTTGTTTGAAGCCCAGACCCAACAGCATTCCCTGACAGCATTCCCACATGGCCAGGAAAAATCCTGCTGGATTCCAGGGCTGGCTCAGGAACACCCACTGGAGGCTCTGAGCAGCCTCACCCAAGGGAAAAAAAAGCTCTCAGGATCTCTGGAGCCTGTGCAGAACAAGGAGCTGCTTTCCAGGGCTCAGGTTACCCGAGGCAGTGTGGAACAATGGCTGGAAAACACTTCCTGCCAGGACAGAGGGACCTGGAATGGCCTCTTGGTCTGGGGAAGGTTCTGTCCTCTGGCTGAGCTGAACACAAGGCCTGTGTGGGTTTATTTCCAGGGTTTGCTTGGAAGAGAAAAGGGGCAAATTTTCCCACCTGGGATCCGTGTTTTATCTTAATCCAGGTCTCTCCTACCTGTGCTGTGGATTGTTCACCCGGGGGTGGGATTGGTGTTTAGGGGGACAGCTGGAATTAGACAGGCATCAGATTGCTGCTTCCCTACAGGGAATTAACTTGGATCTGCTCCAGGGAAGCTCCAGAAGTGTGCAAGGAGTAAGGGACCGGATAATCCTCCCTGTCTCTCGTACCACATCCAGGAAAAAGCTCTAAAAAAGCGACTCTGGCTGTGCCCAGGGTAGAGTGGAGTCGGGAATCAACTCAAACCTGTTGTTAACGAGTTGTGGGATTTGTCTGCCCCAAAAATGGAGCTCTGTGGCCCGAGGAGCAGGAGCTGATCCCCGTGAAAGGGTCCCATTCACACGGATCACTCACTGCTGCAAATCACAGTGGAGCTGACAGGAAAAAAACCTGCTTTTCATGGCTTTGCTCATGTGACAGTTCTTTGTGGCTCATCACATTTGTCCTGGGGGCATTCCCTGTCCCCAAAGCCGCGGGGATTATTTTTATTATTAAAAATAAAGGCCACTGACTGAGGAGGAAAGTGGGGAAAAAGGGACAGAACAGCGGGAAGAGGTTGAGTGAAGCAACTGGTCAGTGGGAGCAGAGCTGAGGGGAAAAAGATCCACAGAGGTGGATTGAGGAATTCTGGTCCCAGGAGGATGGGAATGACTTGCTGGTGTGGCTGGAGCGAGAAAACAGGGAGAACTGGGATAGTGGAGAAGTTTCTCCCTGCAGTCCTGCAGTGCTTGCCTGGATTTAGATCAAACTCTGCAGTTGTGTTGTGTGAGGGAGAGCCACGTTCTGGTTGTTTAAATTCCTGTTTTAATCCATTGCTTTTGTTTCCAGGTGTTTCCTCCATGTCTGCCCATCATCCTGAGCTCAGAACTGTGCTGAATTCCTGCAGTAGGAGTTCCCTGGGATCAGCTCTGGCGCTGGGCTCCTTCCAGCCCTCAGGCACCTCACCCTTGTCCTCCTGCCCTGTCTTTCAGGTCGCCAAGGAATTTGGCTTCAGGAATAATGGCTTTTCCGTGTACACCAACAGGAACAGGACAGGGGAGATCACAGCAGCCCAGAACAAATCCCTCAACCTGCTCAAAATCAAGTGAGTCCCCACGGGAAGGGCTTGTCCAGCGTGGGGGGCTCTGTTTGGAGCTTCCAGAATGGGCAGCAGTGGGCAAAATCACACCCCATGTGCAGCGTGTCCCTGGAATGTGCCAGCTGGCAGCTGCCTTGGGAAGGCTGTGACTTGACCCACGCAGGATCCTCCTGGAGCTGTTGCCTCTCTCCATAGGCTCCTTTTGCCTTTTTCTCCATCTTTTCCCCTCAGCTGTGTCTCCTGATGGGTTTGCATTTGTTGTGGCAAATGAGCAGAGCAGCAGGAAGAGGTGGCTGATGGAGCAGGTTCCAACTGCCACCTGAGCTGGTCTGATTATAGTTTGGGACACATTCCATGCTCTCCCATGTTCCAGGAGGTTGGCTGGCTGTTGGGAAGCAGTTCCAGCTTCCCGGGTGCTGTTTCCCACCCCTCCCACTACCTGTGTGCTGTCTCCCACCCCTGCAGGCACGGGGATATGCTGTTCCTGTACCCCCTGAGCCCAGCTGGCTCCTCCTCAGAGACCATGGACACCTCTGTCTCCCAGAATTCCCGGCCTGGGGGTGCCCCCCAGGTGGTGGAGGATGAGATCGACCAGTACCTGATCAAGCAGGATGGGAAGATTTACCGGAACCGAGACCAGCAGCTGTGAGTGGGGGGGGGAGCTGTGTGTGTTCCTGCTGTATCCAGAGTTTGGAATGTCATGTCTGAGCCCAGCAGCCTGGGAATGTCCCGAGCAGGAGCACTCTGAGCCTTCAGATCCAACCACTCCTCATAAAGGGAAACACAGAAGCGAGGGGAATGAGTGGAAGTGTCCCATAACAGAGATGTGGAACTGAGACTTGGGTCTTTCCCTGCTTAGTTTTTTACTTCCCCTCCATCACGTGCCTTTCTGACCTTTGTGAAGTCAGGGAGCCCCTTTTGCTCACAAAAATGCACCAAAGCCCAACTTTCCAAAGCTCCTCTGTGCAAGAGGCTTTGGGAAACAAAGCAGCTTCTTTTTGTGTAAAAATAATACAACAATGGGTTAAAGCCACCCAAAATCTACACTGGTGCTGCTAAAACATCCTCTGGGTGGGTGATGGGGTTTTATTGCTCAGCATTAATGCCCCAGTTGGGTCCCAGTTGTGCCCTTGGGAGTGGAACCCTCTGGAAAGAGACTCCTGAAAGGGTTTGAGGGAAAATTTTAAAGGCAACCAGGAATTCTTGCTGAAACAGAATCATCTGCCCTCCCCTGTGGTGTTGTCCCCCATATGGTTTATCCTCAGTGCTGCAGGGACATTTGTGGAAAGTCCTCTCTGACCTTCCCAGGCTGACCATAAATGATGGGATGTCACATTATTGAAGCAATAAAGGCAAAACCCACCACTCTGTGGTCAAAACATTGTCTTGAACTCGCCCACACCTTTCAAGGAATCAATGAAGTTGTTCCTAGCAGGGAGCCAAAGCCCAGGGGTGGGTATTGAGGATAAAAGGAGATGTCTGGGCTTGTTCCTGGGTTTGGGAGGGTGGATCAATCTCAAGTGAAAGATGCTGAGTGCATTAGCGGCATTTAGG